GGAGAGGTTCCTTTTTAAGCTCTTCCTTTAAAGTATGGCTACCTTCGTGATTTGTTTTAGTTTCGCTACATTTCATGGTAGTTCCAAATAAACATAGAAAAGAAAACACAGAGAAAACTAAACGCGCAAAAGGCATACCTGCGCGAACCGCTGCGGCTAGTCATTAAGTGCAGAAACAGATACTGCGCAATGAAACGGCGTTTGCCGAACAAAGTACAAATCACACACAAAAAGAGAATGTTGATCATGGCCAAGCTCTTTACAAAAACAAGCTTATGTAAGAACGCGAGCGTCCGTTCAATAACGGCAGACGTCTAACCCGAAGCATCGAAGCGAAAACAAACACGCCGTATAAAGGCACATAAGCTATGACAAACATATCCGCCGCTAGCACCACCTGTGCTTATCGCTGAACAAGCATAACAAACAAAAAAAAATGCAACGAACAAAGCAAATCTGAAGTAAAACACGAAACTCGAGGAACTCCGACGAATGATCTTGGGTCCGGTTGAAGCGCGGCATACATAGCCTCAAACCTGAATTACTCTCCCTAATTAGATTCGTCGGCGGTGTACCGTTACCCCGCGGCAGGGCTAGAAATTAAATTAGGGCAGCTGCGCTCTTCTCTAATTACTCATTAGCTCGAGCAGCGTATGGAAGGAGAAAAAAATACTTTGCGCGTAATGTCTAGCCGTGACGAGGGACGTTACGTCACTGCGCACACCGCGTTGTAGCGGTGTTTCATCTGAACGAGGCGTGCACGTGAAGGTTAATTTGTAAGGCTTGCTGTGGTAGCAGACGGGTATATGCCCGCTATCTTGGACTATCCCCGTCTGCTACCACAGCAACGCAATAATAGCAGACGGTCATCACCGCAGAAGCGAAGACACGGCGGCCAGTTTCCTGCTTGGAATCATGTATACACCAACATACTGTTCACAAACAAGCCCTTGTTTAACCACACCCGGAAACCAGACTCGCAAAATAAAAGGTGAAGTATCTGCGCATGCGCAGTGCTGACAGCAGCTCCACCACAGTTGCGTGACGTCAGGAAGCTGCGTTGGTGTATCCGTGTGGACAGAATGCATTGTCAAAACCAACCATCGGTCTATCCTTTATCAGCTCAAAGATTCGAGAAAGGCGATCGGTATCACGCTCCAATAGCTTCGCGGTGGGAGCGAAAAAAAACGTCGTTTACCTTTTTTTGCCGTTGAGACGGCTTGACGGCGTTGATTATGCTATTTTAATTGTGTTGCGTGTATGTTTATGCAGCCGGAAGTTAGGCAACCCCAATGGGCGTCTGGTGTTTCAGATGAGCAATTTAGCCAGTGCAATACAACCGCTAGCCTGGGTTCCTCAACGGGAGCGACGCAATTAGTGATACATGACCGCACGCCGGTACGGTGCTCATCCAGATCAAAACGGGCAGGGGTGGGGATGCGCCATAGGGATACGTGCGCATCTCTATGACATTCTAAGAACGTCTAGGTTTTCCACAAGGCCGTCATCCTCCTTGCCGTCTCAGAAAAACCTCGCTCTCTCTCCCACCATCAACAGCGAGCGCGGACAGCCGCGGTACAGACAACAACTCTAGGAAAAAAACGGCCAGCCAAAGGCACGGTTTTGACACAGGCGCTCCGTCAGCGTTAAGCAAGGACTTAAGTTCAAAAACGAAATATACGAGTCCCAGTCAAATGCAGACGCTCCACTCATGTTCAATTTGTATATTAGCTGGAGATAAACTGGTTTTTAAAAACACTGGCCAGGTGGGCGAAAGACGCCGCCCTATTTAAATCTGTACAGCTGTATTTTTTATTTACACAAACGATCTGCTGCACAAAAGCATTATAGCAGTTATAGTCCTTAAGAAGAAAACCAAACAATAATATGATAGTACTGGAATATAAAGGCCGTAAAAAACAACAACAAAAAAGTGCACGTAAAGAAAAGATTTTAAAATCGGGACAACCACCCGAAAGGAAATTGTCCCTGGTCATAATGTATAAAATAGGCCTAAGACAATTTGTTCATCTCAGTAATGGTTCGAGGAAAAAAATAATGTTTCTTATATTCTGTACGACAATTTCTTTTCTTCAATCTTCCTCGAATGATCTATACGGCGACTTGAGACAAAGGTTGGTAATTTCAAGTGCTTACTTTTGTCAAATCATAAAAATAAAAAAAAAAAAAAACACTGCAGGCAAAAAACTCAGTTTAAAATTTTCTTCCCTCTTAAGGACAAAGGGTCCGATACAAATAAATATTTAATCCTTGTTACGTTTACATTAGTAATGAATTTTCTGTATGCAAATCTTGCTGCACGGTTTTGGAGTTTTTCTATTTTGTGTACGACAAGGCACTTTTGATGCGTATCCCACGTAACACAGGAACGTTCGATTGTATTTTTCACCAAACTAATAAGCAGTTTCCTTTAATTCTTTTTGAGCCCCATGTATGTTTCGAATAAGGAAGTGTAAAGTTCGGCTAGCTTTTTTTATAGTCCTGGTGACATGAAGGTTAAAAGAAAGGGTATCTGACAAAGTAATCCCCAGATATTTCAAGTCAGTCTTAATACTTGATTTTAATCATTAATAAACTCGTATGTTTTGAAGAATTGTGTTTTGTCCCAGAAGTGACCTGCTACAATTCAGTATTCAAATTTAAATCCCAAGCCTTAAATCATTTTAATTATACATCTAGGTCTGATTGTAGATCAGCAACATCACTAGCATTATCCACTCTGTTATACAAAACACAGCCGTCTGCGAACAGCCTCAAAGATGAGGTAATGTCTTATGTCATTGACAGACACAAGAAATAAAAGAGGTCCCAGCACTGACCCTTGCGGCACACCAGACGGAGCACCAATAAAATCAAATTTTCAACCCCTAATGGCGACACATTGCTTTCTTCCAAAAATGTAACTTTCAATCCATCGGTACACGCTTTCGGCAATGTTTAAGCGGCTCAGTTCATGTAACAACCACGGGTGACACACTTTGTCAAAAGCTTCGCACAAATCAAGAAAAATAGCATGCGTTTCACCTCCACTCTCAGCAATTGGAACCACATCACGGTAAAGCTTGTTTTTTTCCGATAAATATTTTATTTAGATGCTCAACAACAAACTATAAATAATGTGTTCTAAAATATTTTAACATATGCAGCTCCGTGAGATGTAGCGATATTTCTTCTACGCTCTGCTTTGACCCATGCTTGTGAACTGGCGTAACATGCGTCATTTTCCATCCATTTGGCAACACACTCTCCTCAAAAGATTTACAAAGAAGAATATAAAAATAGGAGGGCACAATCAAGGAGCAATTCTAGGTGACAATCCACCAGAGCCTACCACCTTCTTAAACATCAAGCTCCTTTCATCCATCCATCCATCTAACCCGTGCCCCGCTGGCTGCCTGCGGATAATGTAGAAAACTCTGCGCTAAACGTTGGTTCACACACTTTCGTTTGCTTTCGACCGAGTTCTTGTATTCTCATACGAGGTGAGAACATACGTGTACTCTGCCGCCATCTACGATGTGACACTGGAACTGCATTTCACTAGAGCGAAGGTTTTACAGTATTCGCGAGATCAAATGTGCGCACTATCTATATGAGAAATAGGCCTTCAAAACATCGTCGAAAGTTTTTTTTCAAACTAATGCAGAGGGCGAGTTCGTCTGCTTTTTGCGCAGGGGTTGCGGTGACGTCAGAATGCCGAGCTCTGATTGGCTCGAGTGGAAAGATAGGGGGTCTCCGAGACCCCCTATCTGAGCGTCGTCTGCTCCTTTGCAACGTCGTCTGCTATTCAACAGCTGTCTTACCTTTACGAGCGAGCTCGACTTCACCTTTCAGAGAGGACAGACGAAATAACTCGAGCGGTACGATGGGTTTTGGTCTAACAACTAGCAGACACGTATCAAGGAGCGAAGCCAAAGGACTCACGGGCGAAGTGGCCGACGCGCCGAGGTTTGTTTGCTAACAACCGACAACGAGGGTGGTTAGCGTCCGCAAGTTCCCTACTTTCGGGCGCGGCGTCGAGCGTATCGCGGAAGTTTTGTCGTAGACTCCTTGACACCAAGAAGTAATTACTGTTTTTATTTCTGGCGAAATTTTGTGGAAACTTATTTTTCTATGCCTTGTTATTTAAGCAGACGAGCACTTGCTGGGGGGTAATCCGATAGACTTCATAGCCCTCCTGTATTTGCTCAAATCACTTTTTTTTCTAAGCCTACTGTTTTAACAGACAGGGATAAAAACACGCCGCTTCCTTTAGTCTAGCGCGCGTGCGGCACCGGACATCTAAGGGCATCACAGACTTGTTATTGGTCTGGTTCGTGCGGCTAGGAGCCGCTTGTCCCTCTAAGAAGGATACAAGGGGCAGAAAACCACGCACCCATTTAATAGGCTAGAGTCTCGCTCGTTATCGGAATTAACCAGACAAATCGCTCCACCGACTAAGAACGGACATGCACCACCATCCACCGAATCAAGAAAGAGCTCTCAATCTGTCAATCCTCCCAGAAAATTAAAATGCGACACACCGTCGTGAATGCGCCCACCACATCCGAAAACGCAGCACGTTTTAATTTCCCCTGCCCCTTGGACAGCGCCTGATCGGAGCCAACCTCTAAATCACAGAGGACAGAAGCGGAACGTACTTTTCTCATTTTTCTTAACGAGCAACCACGCGAAGGACTCACGGGTATACAGCCACAGTTGCTACAGCACGTCCGCCAATGCCGACGCCGAGATGTTTACATCCGCGACCCGCGCCCCCCCCCCCCCCCCCCCCCCCCCCGAAGGAGGCGGAGCTTAGTATAACCTCCTCTCCTACCTTCACACCTCCTTTCCCATGCGCAGAAGACCAAAACGCGCCCACTTGCAAGGCGCATAAAGAAAGATATCATCTCACCAGGAAAACTATAATCACAAGAGGTTGTAAGCTGTAACACTGTTGTCCAAGAGGTGTAATCCCAAAAAGGACGTCGTCCACTCACCTGGCAAGCACTCTGGGAAGGCCGCGGGTCCCCATCCGCCCTGCCAGCAGCGGAGCTCCGGTTGTCCCTGGACCTGGTAGCCGGGGTCGCAGAAGAGCTCGACCAGGGTGCCGTGGCCCACGCTCTCGTCGGGCTCCAGAGGCCGCTCTGTCGTCAGCTCCCGGAACGAGCCGTGCTCCACCGACGGGAGGCTGCACGTTACTGCCCAACGGAAAGAGAGAAGAAAAGTGGAAAGGGGACGGTGGGAGCAGCCGAAGCGGAGGGGGAGCGCGTCTCCAGACACAGAATTGAAAAAAAAATAAAAGTCCGTCTCAGCCTGGAACGTTACTAATGTCTCTATTTCACGTATTGAAATGTGTACTTGCATTTTATATAAGCTTTAGGTTACTTTACCAAGTCTTACAAGTTTGAAATGACAAGAACATCACTCCTTCCGTCGACAACCAAATATTCTAAGAACTACTTTGCGCAGCGCATGAATTCTGCGCAAAACTTATTTTTCTGGATGTGACAACGAGTAGAGAGAAAAATGGCTAGTAACTGGGCTGTGGACGGACACGCGGCGTTTGACATTCCGTACGAGAGAGCTACTGCGCTTACTCAAAACGCGAGCTCAATTCGGAGCGCAAGTTCGTCTGCTTTATACGCAGGGGTTGCGATAATGTCAGAACACCGAGCTCTTATTGGCCAATTGAAAATAATAGTGGGTAGCCCTCAAAGCATCTGGCATTAAGGTCTACCCACTGTCGTTTCAATCAAAGCCAATCTGAGCTTGGCGTCGCTCTGACGTCACTGCAGCTTCTGCGCAAGAAGCAGACGACTTACTCTCCGCATAGACGAGGATTGCAGCTCGCAGAAGGATTGCAGCTCGCAGAAGGCTATAGCAGGAAACAAAAAGAAGTAGCAAACTCCAATTATCTTGCTAAAAAGACAAACAAAAAACAAAAAACACATACACAAGAAGCTTAAGTTTTTGCCACATTTTTGTCAACGGGGAGTCTGTCCAGACAAAAGTTTACGTCACGTGACACGGTGGCGTCACGTGACCGTGTCACGCGACGCCACCGTGAAACGCGGCGTTACCTCTCTTTTCAAATTCAACCCCAAGCAAAAAAAAATATTTGAAAAGAAACGTATTCTTATTAAAAATTGTTTACCCCTTTTGGCACCGAGAAAGTCACTGGAGCCTCATGGGGGTGAACAGGTTAACGAAATAACCGGTGATATACGTGTTTCGAGTCCTCCACGGTGCAGTACATTATGCAAAGTGTTTTCGAGCGCCGTTCGGCCGTAATAAATATTCATGTGAATCGACTGAAAGCAATGAAGCGATTTTACAAGGTGTGTTTAGGCCGTATGTGGCCCTTTAATCATACACCAACTTCGTGAGTATAAGTTTCTTAGAAAAAATCGTTAAAAAAATCTTTTTTTTCTATCGGCGTAAGAAAAACAAAAGCAAGCCATCGGGATGACGCTGCTAATCAAATATGGCATAACTTGGCACAATAATTTAAAAGCTCTCGGAAATTTAAAAACCCTAAAGTAGATCCAGCAGAGCTGATCGTGTATTCTACAATACCTGAGTAGCGGCTGAAACTTGACAGTTTGTTTACCTTTCTTTTTTTTCCCTTTGTTTTCCGTTGCATATAAAATAATAAGGTTGTATTTTTTTGCCTTTTTTTCCCACAAATTTACACTCACAAACTTTGAGTATGATAATTGCATCGCCTAGAGACACCTTTGTGAGAATACACTGCGTTTATTATCACGATTTTTTTTTTTTTTTTGCGCCCGAATAGCGTTGCTTTTTGTAAATACAGGGACATTTGAGGATGTTTGCGTCACATAAGCGTTTCATGCCGTCATGTCCATACGTGAGAAAGGGCCAGTCTCCCAGCCTTTTTCTTGGCGAACTCAGGGTGTTATCGGAGCTCGACGTGAAACTTTTCGAGTCTAGCGGAAAAGCCACCGCGGGTAAACTCGGAGTGAAGTTTCGCCGATATCCTCCTCGAAACGAGTTCGTTCGAGGAGTGTATTTCGGGCGAAGATTAGGCGGGCAGTTTCGTGCGAGACCGGGGGCCCACTCGCGTACAGGATAATCCTCGCGACAGTCAAAGTCCCGCCTTGCGACTCTAATTCTCATAGACACCTGCTCGATCAGTCACGAGATTACGAATAATTTTTGGAATAGAAAAATAAAGGAAGACAGAACGGTCGATAGTCAAGTACAACTTAAAGCGATTGCCTGGTAAAAAACCGGAAGTTCTTAAGATTTTGTGAAGGCTTCCTGCCGGGAGCCTAATGATTAACATAGGCCATTTTCAGTCTATCAAACGACATTCCAATTTAGTGTAATCAATGACGGATAATTACACGAGACTCCATGCCAAATTTAGCAAGTATCAACGGCTGCGCTCCCATGCCAGATGTGACGTCACACCAGGCTTGCAACTGTCAGATCCTATGCCTCATTCCACCGCGCGAACACGGTGCCCCAACGCACATCAGCGTTCCGTTTTACTTGCCACAGTAAATTTCGCGGAGAAGTGTGCAACGTGACAACCGCTTGAAAGTCCCCTTTCATTCATATTTTGTTTTTCATCGCAGCAACGAGGTTGAATTACGTCGAAGCGCTTACGCGGAGGGCAAAATTCGAAGGGCGTTTAGTTCAGAGCGTTCATTGCATTATGTTACGTCCGAGCCTCCGCTGTCCCGAAGGTGGAAGAGGAAAACACCGTTTATGCACGCTCGGTTTAAAAGACAAATACCCGTGCAGGGAAGCCCAGAAAATTCAGGTTTGTCGTGGAAGATGCTCCTACAGCCATTGACAGTGAGGTCTAAATGTTTTCTTGAATACAAAATTTGACCGGACGATTCCTTTAAGAACGCTCCGAATAAACACAAACACGTACTATACTTTGTTTCACCTTATGATGTACCGCAGGAAAGGCTAGAAGCACGAGCTCCTTGCTTAATGGCAAATCTCGGCTGCACAAGCTCTCGTGCAATAAGGGCAGCTTCCAACGCCATGAGCTCGCGCTTCTAGCCTTCACTGTGGTACAGCATAAGATGAAACGGAGCAGGTAGTAGAGAGCCTGGATTACACGATCGTGGCCACGCGGTTTATGGGCCGTATTCGCATCACCCATACAACGATATCTCTAACGGATGGCCACCTTTTTGGAAAAGAAGTGCTAGATTAAGCACGGCCGACGACGCCGACGAGACAAGTCACGTCACGATTGCCATTCTTTCTCCTCCTCACTACGTCCCGTCGAGCTGGGCCGTGTTCCAAAATTTACTCGATCTTACTTTAGGATAAGGGTTTAGTACCTTGGCGTTCCAAAACCTACCCGCGTTCAGCGCATTTTAATCTGTGTTGTCAGGTGATACGACCCAACGAAGTAACTCGGATTCATTTGGATAAGATTTGGAATCCAGTCCTGGTGAACTGGAGCGAGGAGGAGAGAAGCGAGGCCGCTTCCCCTCCTTCTCAAAATCTCCCGGGAGACAATGACGTCAAAGACCTTGCTTGATCGCGCCCTTCTTTTCCAAAAGTACGGACTTCTGTTTGAGATCTCGATGTATGAGTGGTGATTTTGGAGTTCGTAGCGTCCCGTTCAACGCTTCTGCAGACTTATTTTGCCTAATCCAAATTTAAATTCAGTATCGCTTTAGCGCTCACGTTCTCGGGTTATTTGGTGTTGAATTTCTGCGTTTAATAATTTGTTGATACATTATAATCACTTTGAACAGTCACATTATACTTTGAGCGTGTGCTGGCTTGCAGATTTCTATTGCAAAGACCTTTGGATATTATTTTAGAGCGCAGCTCTTAGGGGCCCGTTTCCGGCTTGAGCGGCGTCGCCGTCGCCGTCGGCGTAACCGCGTGGTGCATCATGGGAAATGTCCCATAATGCACCGCGCGAGCCCCCCACCGGGGTCACGTGACCTCGTGGGGGGGCACGTGACCCCCCGAGGTCACGTGACATCCCCGAAGTCACGTGACTCCCCTGAGGTCACGTGACCCCCTCCTCGAGGTCACGTGACCACCGCCGATGTCGCGTGACCCCCCGATGACGTCATCGTCACTGATGACGTCACCGGCATCCACATCGTCATCGTCATCATCACTGATGACGTCACCGGCATCCACATCGTCATCATCACTGATGACGTCACCGGCATCCGCATCGTCATCGTCATCATCACTGAGGACGTTACTGACATCCGCATCGTCATCGTCATCATCACTGATGACTTCACTGATGTCGTCACCGGCATCGTCATCGTCATCATCACTGATGACGTCATCAGCGATGTCACTGATGACGTCACCGACATTCGCATCGTCATCATCACTGGTGAAGTCATCAGTGACGTCACTAATGACGTCATCGGTACCCGCATCGTCATCGTCACTGATGACGTCATCAGTGACGTCAGTGATGACATCATCGGCATTGGGGGTCACGTGACCCCCCCTGGTTAGTTTAACCCCCCCAGTGCCCTTCCCTCCTCCTCCTCAAGAGCTGCGCTCTAATTCGGCGTTACAGGGAGTTGTAAGCGGCTTTCACTTTTCTTTTGCAACGTAAATATACAACGTATAGTTGTACATTTTATAGCAACTTTTTTTTTTCTTGTCTCCCTCCTCACTCTTCCCCCCCCCCCCCCCTTCTTTGCGGCCTCGGGACACAGCCTTATATTAATAATAAAAATGAACTGAATATTCGCCTTATCAACCTTGTTAATATTAAAAGAAAAAAAAAACGAAAAAAAAAACCAGTTATAGTCACACGGTTAGGTTTGTGGCGCAGTGTACTTTTCAGGCTATGGTTCATTCTTGTTCCATATGAGGAGTACAGTCCTAGGATTGCCCCAGAATAAACTCGCAACAATTCACTGCATATGCCAACCGAACGTTGCTTTCTCTTCGATCACTTCGACAAGTTAGGACGGCGATCGACGGCATGCTCCAACGGCCATGCAGTCTCGACGTGATCTCGACCCTTTTTGCTGCTAAAGCTGGATGACGATTGGAGGCGCGATACTGATCCCCCTTCTCATTAGCTGGACTGATTGAAAGCATATCACTGCTGGTGTACACTTCTATTGCGGGACAGTAGGCATGCTGGGACTTCTAAAAGTGCGTGCTTCTGCAAGCGCCGCCGCTCGATACCTACGCCTGAAAGGCTTCCTTT